CCGCGCCCCATGATAGTCTGGAGCTCCGCATGCCCTGAACTCCCTGAACGTAAGTGTGCGCGACCCCATCATGGCCGCCATCTCCGCACGGAAAACACCCAATCTCTCATCCATCAGCTCTAAAATACCCTCCTTGATCGAACCGAAGATCACAGGAGTCTGCTCCAGTATGATGCGGGTAACCTCAGAAGAAAGGAACTCTCTAGTCTGCTCATCCATCTACCCGACCTCCGGGCCTGATCCCGATCCTGATCCCCCTCCGGCATATGAGCTGCCGACTGCTGGTCTCGGACGCAAAACTACCATTCTTAAACATATCATAACAACATCAGAACACTGAGATATCTCAAGGGATCATGACACTGCTACTAGCTTCCTGGTCTTGTCTTGGCCTTCCTTGATTCGAGTACGGATCCTCTGCTTTCAGTAGTACGGGCCCATACTACCTTCCACATCTATCCGTACTTTCCTCAAGAACTGCCTTGACTCCACCAAGTCACTTCTACTACTGCTATTCTCTGCTACTCTCATCCTAGGCTTGCCCTAGGGAAACCTCAGGCTCAACACGACTGGTCCTCAGCTGCTGAAGGTCTCCTCATAATGCCAATTAGCCACCACCTAAACACCATCACATGTGATGAGGATCAGATAATCCTTCAAGTAAAGGACCCGTCCCTATAACGGTTGGACTCAAACAAGAGCTGCGCAATAGGGCCAGTTCCAGTACTCTGGGATTATTCAAACCTGATCACATGTGGTGTGACGTGTTCACCTAATGGCTAACTCCCATTACTCAGAACCCTACCAAGCACGAAGCAAGCAGCATTCGGATAAGGGAAACAGACTCAGGCAAAACTATTCTCATAATAAGAAACTGCACTAGCAAGGATGCTAAGCTCATACTATCAGGCATAACCTAAACAGGCTATCCTACTGCTGTCTACTCAGTACTAGCATGCAATACTCATAAAGTTGTAACACATAAGCAGGCACATAAGGCATTCTCCTAGATCCTTAGTCCTATACTAGCATGCTGTTCTACTGAAACTGAAACTGAACAAATAACTTGTATGGGTAATTTGGGAGTACTTACTTGAGCTCGGCTGACCGCATGCACACACCTCTATCTTGTTAAAAACTATTCTTTCTTTCTAAGTGCTTTCAAAATTCTATTTGTAATACGTTTTTATTATTTTTAAAATAAAATCTTTTATTTCCCTTAGTTTGAGTTCAGATACACCCGGAAGTGTATCCGAATCCCTCAAACCAGGGCTCTGATACCAACTTGAAACAACCCAAAAATACGACCCAAAAATTTCGTTTTTCGATATAATCAAAACCATAATCAGAGTGTCATATAATAAAACCATACGTGATGTATTCCAACATAATAGAAAACACTGTGCGGAAACTGTATCATACTACGTCAAATCAAAACAAACTAAATCAATCCCAGGCTAAAAGCTAAAGCTGTGGTGTGTGCGATGCCGTCACCCCGAGCTCTTCCCTTTGCTTGCGGAAGTACCTGAAACCAAAACTGAAACTGTAAGCACGAAGCTTAGTGAGCTCCCCCAAACTACCACATACCATACAATAACATATAAACACATATTGGGCCTTGCCCACTGCATCGGGACGAAGCCCGGCAACTGCATCGGACCGAAGTCCGGAACTGACTGGGACCTTGTCCCCTGCATCGGACCAAAGTCCGGAACTACCTGCATCGGACCGAAGTCCGGAACTAACTGCATCGGACCAAAGTCCGGAACCGACTGGGACCTTGTCCCCTGCATCGGACTGAAGTCCGGAACTAACTGACTGAGCATAGCGTAGCATAACATAACAACTAGCATGAACACATATACTGCATACTACATCGGGCCGTAGCCCGGAACACATAATACATAACACATAAAACATAGCACACAAATCCTGTCTGAGCCACGAAGGCATCAAACATACTAGCTACTGCATCGGATCAAAGTCCGGAAACTACTGCTAACTGAACGGGCCGGCATTGTGGCCTTAGACCCGTCCCTACTGGAAGGAAACTCACCTCGTAAACTGGCTGCTGAGTGTGTGGCTCTGGAAGCTAACGGCTGCTGCTCCTGTATCTCTCCGGCTACAAGTCCATAAACACACTCAATCAAATACTAAACACTGCACTTGGGTAAAATGACTCTTTTACCCTTGGTCAAAGTTACTCTCATCTGGACTGACTCGCCGAGTTGGGCCACCCAACTCGCCGAGTCCTACTCTCACTTTTCAATCCTACTCGCTGCTACTCGTCGAGTATGGCATCGACTCGACGAGTACCCTCTTGATCCAAGAACTCAGACAATCTTCATCCGACTCGCCGAGCCGTATGAACGTACTCGACGAGTTGTTCTTGATCTTAAGAAGATTGCCTTGGACTCGCCGAGTTGTATGAACAACTCGTCGAGTCCCTCCATTACTGAGTCTACCTTCAACTCGCAGAGTCCACTCTCTAACTCACTGGTTCCACTCAACACTGCTAAAAATGAAGGAATCGGGGACTCGCGACTCAACTCGCCGAGTCGTTCTTCCCGACTCGCCGAGTTGCCGCCATGCAACTATTTTTCACCCGATTTTGCTTGAATCCAACACATACAAATGATAGATCTGAGTCCAATAAGCTGGTTTACCACGTAAAGTTTCCAACTTTACGTGTACAACACATGAATAAGGGAAAATAAGGCTAAAAGATGCATAAAAGGGATAGATCTAGGGTTAATATGCAAGTATCCCATAAAGGCAATAGATCTGGACTATGGGACTTCTCAATGAATAGATCCAAGGTTATCTCGGCTTATTAGGGCGTTCATGAAAGCACAAGGCTTGGAACAAGCATCAACTAGTTCTTAGAAGAGTTCTAATGGAGGTTTAAAGCATAAAACAAGAGGGGAAATCCGAAAATACCTCAAATAACTCAGATTTGCCCTTGGATCTTGGCACTCCACCTCTTCTCCTTGCTCCTTTCTTCTTCTCCTTCTTCAAGCCTTCACAAAATCACACAAAATCACTTACAAACTCTCAAGGATGAACTAGGGTTTTCTCACAGCTTTAGAGGGTGAAGGAGGCGAGAATGGGGGCTATAAGGTGACTTAAATAGTGGGCAACCCGGGGATTTAGGGTTTCACCCAGACGGACGGACTCGCCGAGTCCGGGATATGGACTCGCCGAGTCACTAGCTAACACGTGCTCGAAGTCGCGACCCTACTCGGCGAGTCAGGCTATGAACTCGCCGAGTCCCTCTTGCAAAACTTTAAAAACAATTACTAATGAATTAACATATCGGGAACGGGTCGTTACATGAATCCATGTACCACTGGTCTTCATTTTGGTCCAAAGTCAGTGTTGAAAAAGCTGCCCCGAGTTCGAAGGGTTCCAGTGGGTTTACTTTAGCAAAATGGGCTTGTGATGGTCGGCCTTTCTGTTGTTGCTATGTGGGAGGTGCAAGCCAAGGTGAGGCTCAACCAGGCTGAGTAGGATACGACATGGTGGTGGTGAAGCCCACCAAGGAGCAGCCCAATAAGGAGGCGGATGAATGGACCATGGGGGGCGATTCTGACCAAGATGAATATTGCGTCGATTATTCTAGTTTGTAGCTGGTGGGTGACTATTAGATGCTTGGCTTGTTCTATTTTGAAAAACAGATGACGATGAGAAACGAAAATTCGAGTTACGTGGATGGGATGGACGACCTCTATTTCCAATGTCTCCGCGTCTTGATTTAGGGTTCGATTGTGGTTCATGATCAACGGTAGCGGCAACCTCAACAGGTGAGTGAGTTTCCCGGGCACGTTGTCTTTGATTTTCAAGTTGTAACATCGAGCATGCAGTATTCCAGTTGGGAGAAGTCTGATTTATGTATGCAGCCACTATGTCAAATTCCGAGGGTAAGCCACGAACCAGTTGCAATACGAGACGTTTTTCATTAACTGGGCACTCCACATCGTTAAGTTAACCAGAGAGGTCCTTTAGTCGCTGGCAGTAAGCTTCAAGGGATGTCATTACTCGAAGATTCAAGTTTTTGAACTCATGTTCTAGGGCTGCTACCCGAGAACCCTTATTATTGAGGAAGACGTTCTGAAGTTTGGACCAAGCATCATATGCAGTAAAGTCCGGATCAAGGACCTAACCAAGGAGATCATCGGATATGGTCCCGTAGATCCACTGGAGAACAATAGCATCAATTTCTGACCAAGTGTTATAAGTTGGATCTGTCTTTGTTGGGGGCGTTGTTTCGTCGATATGGGACAAAACTTTGTAGCCTTTAGCGTGAAGTTTGAACAATTGAACCCAAGAGCAATACGTGACCTTGGTGCCATCAAGAACTCTCACTTTGGTCTGTATGTTGGTAACAGTGTAAACTGGATGGATTGCCTTTGTAGAGTTTGTTTCAGTTGCACTATACATAATGAAAGAAAACAAGTATAGATCTTGAAGAAATTTGAAACAGAAGGAGCCTGCACAGCCGTGGCTATGAGAATGGATCAATTCTGGTATTGAGCCATTAACTCTGATACCATGTTAATCTTTGAGATTTGATGCATGTTTCATTGATTGTAACCAGAATATATACAGGATTACAAAAGGGTAATTTAGGAAAGTCTAATTTGCTAGAGAACTAAATAAGGAACATATAATGTACAGTAAATACAAAATATATACAACATAATTGTGCAAAATATATGACTAAAATATTTCGCCAATAGTTTCTTCCTAAATTTTTTTTGACAAGCATGAAGACATACAGACATCCAAGGTTCATTGAATCCAATCTGTAAATTTAAACTAGCAAAAACTTATGCAAATTAACTATGTCATATCAACTAAATAATCATGTTGTAGTTTACCATAAGCTTATGCAAACCATGCGAGATCTCACATTTGAAGCAAGAGTTTAAAATTAAAATGAAAATAGTGGAACAAATAAATAAACTTATATGTATCTCATCATCTAATTACTACATCCATTAATGAAGCTGAGTTATTTCGCCTGTCTTTATTCCTTCAAGAAAAGATGGTTGTTTTTCCTCATAAGAAGTGCTCATGCCTAACAATTGAATGCTTTGGGCACACATTTCCATTCCAACTATACCAAAAGTGCCATTAAAGTCCACCAACTTTGATTGTGCCCCTGTCTCATGAGTATAAACTTGGAAGTGTGTCTTTTCAATAGAAACTTTGGAGTGGAGCTTTGTACACCAAGTGTTGAACAACATATCACCATTGGCTTTCTATTTCAAAACTCTATTTATACCTCCCAAATCTTGTCCTATTTTAGTTTTGAAAGCAACAGACCATGAAGCGTCTCTTCTCACCCACGTCCAAGTTTCACCATCTTTAGTAGAAAGCACAGCGAGAGAATCTTGGATTGTTGTTAGTCTTGCAGTTTCCCAACAGGGTTCAGGTAACACAATCATGCCAAAAAGATTAGTCCTCAAATTGAATGTCATTATACAAGAAAGGTATATTTGTTCTGATTTATTAAATTCTTTTACTACCCAATGCAATGCTCCATTGACAAAACATGCATTTGACAACATCCCATGTAACACCGTAAATTTCAAAACAATTTTTCGCATTTTATAAAAACATAATTCATTTAATATTCGTAAAAACACCCATGTTTGAAATACAATTCATGTCATACACAAAAATCCCAAGATCTCATAACATAAAATCCTGTGTGTGTGTGCTGATCAAGCTGGCACCTTCCCACGGTCGTCACTAGTACCTGAAACAACTAACACCAAACATTGTAAGCACAAAGCTTAGCGAGTTCCCCAAAATACCACGTATAACACATATTAGCCACTCGAGGCTATAACTCTGTGGGTCCGTGCACCCAAACTCTGTGAACCCTCAGGTTCTAACTTTGTAAACATGCACAACATAAATCACAAAGAATAATGCAGCGCAACACATAACACACACACACACACACACATATATATATATATATATATATATATATATATATATATATATATATATATATATATATATAACATACAAGCACTGTATCACATAACTCTAGTTACCTACTCAAGGTAAAGTATAGTGATAAGACTCACCTCATGTATCTCGATAACTTGCAAATCCCTGGAATCACTCGTGCTCGATCCCCCGCACTATAATCTTCATATAATAGAATATATCTCTAATTAACACTTTTACAACTAAGGTTGACTAACCATATCAAGTCAACATTGATCAACTCTGGTCAACGGTCAAGTTTGATCGGACTCGGCGAGTGCACCAAAGCAACTCGGCGAGTCTAACGCGTTCACTGACTCCTTCGGATCTTTCTTGGCATGTCGAGCACTCCCCTAACTCGACGAGTTCCACCTGGAATGAATCGCAGGGCAACCACGACTCAACTCGCCGAGTCTCAAGAACAACTCGGTGAGTTCCGGCTTGACTCAACCCCATACTGACTCTTCCTGACTCACTTGGTTATCCCCCAACCCGGCGAGTCCACAAGCTGAACACTTTACGTGAAACCCCAACCCTACTCGCCGAGTCCCAAGAACAACTCGGTGAGTTCATGCCATGCACAAACTTTAATGACCTTCTAAGGTCATATCTGCTTTCCCAAACCATAGATCTGGCCTTCCCAAGCATGAATGTCACGTAAAGTTTGAAGCTTGATGCTTGTTTAACCCCCACAAGGCATCAAAAGGATATTTTGTCCCAAAAATAAGCACCTAGGTCCAATGACTCCATAATAACCCAAAAAGCTCCAATGGTTAAGGTCTCTGGACCTCTTTGATTCTAGATCCAAGGCACAAACTCGAAGAGGGACCATTTGCTTCACATAATCACTCTCCAAAGGGGGGTATAAAACCCTAACTCTAAAGATCAACCCTATAACTGAAGGAGATTCGAACCCTTACCTCAAAAGGAAGCCTCTGGACTCTGGATCTGCTGTAATCTCACCTCCTCCTTGCTCTTGCCACCTTCCTCTTGCTAAACAAAGAATACAAAGGCCCAAAAGTGACTTCCTCTCTCCCAAAATGAATTAGCTCTCTTAGGGTTCTCTCAAGGGACTGGTAACCGCAATGGGAGGCTATAAGTGCCCTTAAATAGGCTCCAAACCCGGGGAATTAGGGTTTTATTAAACAGCGTGGACTCGCTGAGTCCACTCCTTGGACTCGCCGAGTCCAGACGCGAACCTTGTCGAAAATCGCGATCCTACTCGGCGAGTTTGAGCTCCAACTTGCCGAGTCTCCTCACAAAATACCAAAAATGAAAGAATGAATAATACCTGGGAATCCGGGCTGTTACATCCCAGAAAATACAGGCGTGGGGCAGGAAAGAATCAGACACCATGTGCGTGTCTTCATAGCATAAACATAGGAGTAGGGGTGACATATACTCACAATCTTGTAATTATTAGTGATTGGGTCAAAACCAAATCCAGTGAGCAAGAGAATTCTATTACATGAACCGATAATCTTGGATCTCTGTTGTAAGGAAACTTGAGTTGTGTTGTACCAATGTATCCACGCCCGAGACACAATGGCAATTGGTCTCCTGAATGCAATGTACAGAAGTCGTTTTCGCCACAATCTTTATGAGTTGGTGTCTGATGAGGAGTTTTTGTGTCGATCGAGAAGTGTGCATGTGGATAAAATCAGGGCTACAAATAATGGAATATAATGATTTGGAAAGTGATCTAAGGAGTGTACATATGTCTTGTGTATATTTCAAAAATCAAGTCTTCGTATCGACAATTAGACATTTCGTACTCCTGCATTTTTCAAAGGAGATGAAATTTCAGTAGGAATAGTTAAAGTCTTCACTAGTAGCAGAAATGATATATCACAGCCATATGTATTGCTTTTTCAATATTCACCAAAGAATCTTTTTTGTCAAATCATGTAAATTTTCTTGAATGAAATCAAATAGAATTAATAATCAAATTCCAATTTTCTTTGACTTTATATCCCTTAAATTAATATTTTATATTGATTGCAATAAAACTTACCTCTCTCAGGTAAGCAAATAAATTTAGAGAAATTAAATATCCTCCTATTTTTCTTCTTAATTATCTTCTTATCTATTTAAAATTTGATAAGTGTCTTAAAATATCATTAATTTTTATCAAAATATGACATTTTTTACAATTTCATGTAGGTAGAAAGATAAGTAGAAAGAAAATATAGGAGGATATTAAATTTCTCATAAATTTATTCTAATTTTTTTCTTATTTAATTTTGTTAAGAATCAATCAACTTTTGTTTTTATTGGTCCAACTGGTTTTGTATAATTGCTCTGATATGATACCAAATATTGTAAACTGGTTTTATTTACACTCCTTAAATATGACGATAACGAGTACGGTGACAATTTGGACAGTCGTATTTTGTTTTTATCCAATACAGCACGCCAAAATATTTTTTAATATAACACGAACATGACCCTACACAACATCGTGCTTTGCTTTACTAACTCGGAAAAAACTCAATTAAAACATGAAAAAAAAATACTCGATTAAAACAAGATAAAAACAACCAACCCAACAAACATAAAAATATAAAATATAAAAAAAATAGTTTATTTAATTCGTAACTAGTCTTACAAAACACAACATAACAAACACATCTTAATATTGTGTCAATTTTTTTACAATTTTGAACGTTAACATGATTCGATTCGACATGGTGTTTTATATATATATAACAGTAAATAATGTGATAACTTAAAAACATTATATTTATGTTATTATTCTGTAATGAATGTTATATATATGTATTGTTAAAGTAATTTTAATATGAATACTCACGTTTGATTAGTCATGTATTTATTACAATTCTATTATTCTATTATAAACTTATGTATGTGCATTTTCATAGTGAATTCAAAATTTACTTTTAATCTGTGACAGTCATATATTCCTTGCCGAATAATAACATAAAGCTGTGGATATAAAATTCATTGCAAAATAATAATATAAAATTAGTGTTTTTTAATATCTTACTCTATTTACTGTTTTTATTTAAACTATCTTTTATATATATATATATATATATATATATATATATATATATATATATATATATATATATATATATATATATATATATATATATATATATATATATATATATATACACACACCCACTATCTTACTCATATTCTACACCATTGGTTTCAAACCAGGCTTGAACACCCAATTTTTGGCTTGAGGGGACCTATCCGTTAACTCCTCATATGACTCTCATCGCTAATATAGAGTCTCAATTCTTGTACCCAGTTAAACCAACTTCGCAGTCTGCTACTATTAGAGGGATATGGATTTCATATGTCGGGAGTGCTACTCTTTATTGTATTTTTGTTTTCAAATAATCCAGTAAAATATATACGCTTTTGCTGCAGTTATGTTTAGAAGACCGAATAACCGAGGCAGGACCACCAATATTGTAGTTTCCTTTTACTTTGCAATCATCCACCAAGTGTTAGGAGTGGTTCATTTCAACAGTTACTTAAAGCTCTTAAGAATTGCATGTTCGATGTTCCAAAGCATATATAAGAATTTACATCTGAACGGCATTTTATTTAAAGTACACAAGATTTTACATTTAACGTCATTTTATTTAAAATACACAAAATTTACTTTAATTAAGCGCAAAATATTTCATATACTCCGCTCCATATTCTTAAAAACCGGAAATTCCCCCACCTGCAAGATAGTGCAATATCATGATCGAATCACATAACTCAAAAGATACAAGTCAAAGAAAAAAAAAAGCTATGTAACTTTGTTATGATAACCAGTTGTGTGTGTGTGTGTGTGTCTAAAGTGCATTGTTTGTGTTTGTAGAATTATACCATCAGGATGAAGAATTTGGCCAGTAAAGTAGGAAGCGTCCTCGGATGCCAGGAACACATACGATGGAGCAATCTCAACAGGTTGAGCTGCCCTATTCATTGGCACCTGTGAGCCATACTCTGCCAGATCCTCGTCATTGAGTGAAGCAGCTTCAAGTGGAGTCCACACGGGTCCAGGGGCCACACCATTAACACGAATCCCCTTGTCGACCAGGTATGTTGCGAGGCCCTTCGTAAAGGCAACAATGGCTCCCTTTGTTGATGCGTAATCTAGTAGCTTTGTGCTGCCTGTGTATGCTACGGCTGAAGTTGTGTTTATGATGCTGCTTCCTTCTTTCATGTGCTTCACAGCATACCTTCATGTACAACGTCCCATCAGAATAAGAAGTGAAGAATGTAATATATATAGATGATATATACATATATACCTTGTCAAGAAGAAATGAGAGAAGATGTTGGTTCTAAATAGCCTTTCAAGTCTCTCATCAGTAATATCATCTAAAGAATATGTTTCGTACTGTACGGCTGCATTGTTCACGAGGACATCGATCCGACCATATGTTTCAACCACCTTATCCACAACGTCCTTACAATTCTTTTCAAACCTCACATCAGTAGG